TTTCAAGAGTCGTCCTGACCACCAAACTGTCCTTTGTTAACCTTTTGACTTTTGGGAAGTGTCTTCTGTGTTGCAGGTTTTTGGGGGTTCTTTTCAGAACCCTCCTTGTGTGCCTTTTTGCTCCTACCTTTCCCTGTGCTTTGGGTCTTGTGCAGCTAGCTGCATGCTTCAGTTCTCCCTCCTGTCGGCTGCTTTGGTTGCTGACGCTCTCCATGCCCACTCACGCTTGGCTTGTGTTGTGTTTCTTGAGCACAACAGAAGCTATCTAGAACTTCATTCTGCTTGGTTCTTGGATGACGTTGTCATGCTCCTCTTGCAGGTGTTATTGATCTCTTCTGCTTCTGTGTCAATTGCCCTCCTTAACTCTTAGACTGTTATACATATATGATTTGACAAAATCTTAGACTCATACATATATGATTTGACAAAAAATAATTTAACATAAGTTTTTAAAACTTGCACAAACACGTTCCAATTTTTTTAGCATTATCAACTAGGCAAATGCTCCAACTTTGTCTAAATGATTACAGCATAACTTGAAAAACAAGATAATCAAAATTAATTTTAAAATTGAGTATTGAACACTTCAGATTTTCAATTCAGAATAAAAAAATATGAACTTCATGTATCATTAATTGTTCATTTAATGTCATTATTCTCTCAGAATAGCATATGATCTTCATTTTCATCAAATTAGAATATAGGTTTTCAGTATAATTTACTGTAAAAAAAATCGTCAATTGGGCATTTGAAATATGCGGCAAATTTAGACCAAAAAAAAATTATCTCCAAATGTCTAAAGTTTATGAAAAATCCATTCTGATAGGATTGTAGAACAGACAGCTGAGCACACCATGTCAAAATAGTGAGAATTGGTTAATAACTGGAATTTTAGAAGCCATTCAAAGTGTAAACTCTGGTTTCCGAGATAATTGAAGTTATCAACAATGAATAAAGGTAGTTTTAATTCGTTAATTTAATTGTATGTTTTAATAAATATTATTTGGCATTAGTACCCAAATATGTGAAAGTTGTAGGTCAATATCTGTTGAAGTAAAAAAAAAAATAACCCCCAAAAAACACAAAATATAAGGATAATTATAATAATTATAATGATTTAGGGGATATATTTAGGGTATACTTTATATAAGTTAAAATAGCCCTAATATGGTCCCTAATCATCAAAACAACCTAAAGAGACAAAGAAAATAGTTTGAAATCAGAGAAAAAATCAGCCCCCATAAAATTAAGTGTCCCAAGTTTTGCGAGTTGACTGATTTATTTGTTGACCAATTTCATTCTATCTTCAAATAGTTATGAAAACATATGCATTCTCCAGTATGTAAAGGTTACAACAAAATCAGATAATAAACAATTGAGGAAAAAAACTAAGATCTTAAAAAAAATATTTTTGGGACATTGATGAGAGTAACATATATTAACATTGGACAATGTATTTATATGATATATAATAAAATAGATCATATTAACAGTTATTCATTATTAAGTATTTGTTATTATGTATTACTCAGCAATGATATAAAGGCACCAACTGTATATCCACTTTGTGGACACTTCTTACTACTATTTTTCTTTTTTGAGCGTCGGACAGGTGCTTGCATCTCTTTATTACTGCATAATCCTTCAGTTCCAGTTATTAGGAGCTGTTCTCCTTATCAAAAAAACATTCTTATTTTTCAAAAATTTGTCTAAAATCAATTTCTGAAGTATTTTGATGAAAGTTTCACGACGCTGAAGCCAATAGGTTGGAGATTTGTTTAACATTTTTAAGTTATCTTTACATAATTTGAATATTTTTCACTACTATGCCCCCTATATTTGCGGTAATATGCGTGGTCTAAGGGTTAAGCTGATCCTGAGGGAGATGGTTTTCATGTTTTCACCTCCCATCTCATGTGTTGGCATGCCGTGCTGGCCCAGTCTTTGGACTCTGCCTGGGCCCTGGCTCTCACTTCTACTTCACCTTTTTGTTCTCAGTTTTGTTGGGTGCGACCGTTGGTTGTCGCCCTGGGGCTGCCATGTGTGTTTGTGAGGGTCGGTCTCACCTTTCATGGAATTTTGGTCAGGCCACGGCATTGTCTGCTGTTGGTCAAGGTGTATCCTCTTTGGTACCCACAGCTGGGTTGGATGAGCATCCTTGAGCCTCGTCCTCTTTATCTGGTCAGCACAGTGATTGCTCTCGTGGTTTGCACCGGCCCTTTCGCAATTTGCCTCTTTGACAGGGCAGTGGGGAAGGGGGATTTTGCTAGCTCAGTTTGCCTACTCTTCGTCCCACAATTTGAGAGCCTTCAGGTAATTTCTTGTGGCCTGCATTACAGTTGGAAGGCCCCCTGACTCCTTCGAGAGGTTCGGGGCAACCGGGACAGGGTTCACTCTCCTTGCCCTCGTTGGGTCATTTCAGGTGTGGTTTTGTGGTGGGGCAACAAGTTTTCTGCTTTCGGGTTCTCACATTAGGCTGAGCTAGGCACCTTTCATTTTTTTTTGTTTCACTCAGGTCTTGGTGGCCCATCTTCGTTTGTTAGCTGTTCAAGTGATGGCCTTCCTTGATGACTAGCTGATGTGAGATCCCAGCTAGTCCGCTTGTCTGCTAGCCAGGTATCTGGTTCTTTCCCAGTTTGCTGGGTTTGGGTTCATGGTGTACTGGAGTTCAAATCACTCCAACTTGAACCAAAAAGTGGGAAGGATGTCCTCGCAGCACTGCTGCTCAGAGAGAATTGGACAAATCTTTGTGCATTGTTTACACTGCTGCCCTGAAGATTTCCAGTGCTTTTTTTCTGGTTCCCCATCTATTTATTTTTCATTTAATTTTGTTTACAACTGGTTTTCCACATTTAACACTTAATTTTTTCAACATACTTTGCAGTCACAAAGTGTGCTTGGAGTAGTATTTTAAAATATATTTAGTAGTTTACATCTTTTTAGAGAATGTCATTCTCGCACTGTGATCATTGACTAATTCTGCACATGTGCTGTTTGGTTTACTGGCAGTAGATCTGAAAGGTAGCCTTCCTGCAAGGTCCCTTTCTTACACTTAAATCCACTCTGGGGGCAACATAGATGCCTTTGCTTTGATGCTGGGGGCATCAAAGCCCTGTTGTCTGCCATTGTGGCTTCATAGGGATGCTCACTCCTGTCCTTCAGGAGGCAGTTGCAAACTTCCGTTTGGCTCGGTTGGTTTACAAGTGAGCTATATACTGTACTGATGTAGCAAGCTATGTTTACAAGCAAGCCCATACCTTATATTCAACTTAGTTCCTTTTCCTATTGTCTCCCTCCCATTTCTCTCTTCTGTTTCCTGAAGCAGCTGTTTGTTCAGTTGTATCAGACATTGCCTTCCAGCCTCTCAGTCATCATCTTTTGCAGCAGAGGTCCTTCCCTGCTGCTTGGGGTGAACTTCTAGGGTATGGGCATCACTGTTTGGTAGGATAAGCATCCTGAAATTCCAGATTCTCAGGCCGTAGCACTTAATCTGGCATTTGCTCCTCCTAGCCAGTGCTGTGTTCATGTTTCATAAAAAGGAGTGCCTTGTTTGCGAGTTCTTGTGCTGGACCTTTTGTAGATTGCCACTTTCACGGTGCTGTTACCTTGAGTTGATTTTGGGGATCAACATCCCTGTGGCCTGGTCTCGGGGACGTTGATGAAATTATGAAAGGTTAGAGAGATGAAAGCCTGGTCTTTGACCAGGCTTTCATCTCTTTCGAACCCGGAAAGTCGGTGCCGAACCCGTTTTGCCAGTTCTTGGACCCACGATATTTGGGTCCAAGCATTTTCTGGATGGTGTTCCAGGGCCTGCAATGGTGGTGGTCCTCAATCCATCCTTTGGCATTGAAGAGTCCAGGTCCAGCAGTCCACCCTGCAACTCCTTTTATTCATTTCAAAGTAGTTAGATTCTGAGGTGGTAGAGTTAACCCCACTTGTGGTGAGTGTCCCATCTCTTTCTTGTCCCCATGTGGGACTTGCTGAATCTGCAGTACATTATCGATCTCTCGGGTTTTACTAACTTCATTCCTTGTTTGACATTTTGCATGACTACCTTCAGAGAGGTTTGCCTGGTACTACAGATGGGCACATGAATGGCGTCCTTGGACCTGAGAAATTATTATTAGCATGTAAATCTTAGTCACACCAGGTTCAGGGGACCTGGTGAACTGGTGGTAGTGGGGAGGTAATTGTGAGGCGATTGGGAAGGGTTTTGAGAGCTAGTGTTTGATAATGGAGAACATGTTCTTTTTCTCAGTTTATGTATGTATGGTAATGGTCTGGGACAGATATACACTGGGTAGAGAGCATGTTTCAATGTGGGTAGAGGTTAGACTGAACCATAGCACTGTTTTTCACGTGTTTAATGTGTGGATTTAGTATTTATTCATTATAAACTTATACTGTGTGTAAATCAGCCCATCCTCCTGTTTTGGCAGTACAGTACTTATAGTAATGATGAGGACCGCAACAAAATTAGAAAGTAGAAATTTGAACTATTGAGTTCAACAAACCAGGAAAACTATTTTTTTTTTTACTTGTGTTGCTTTGACAATCTAAACTAACCTAACCTTCCTAGGCCTTATGCATGATATCTGGGGCCTAATATAGTACATGTGTGCACTATACTAGACCCAGGAATTTTAGATAGATAGACCTATTTGTTTTTTAGCGTCAATTATTTTAAAAGAATTCCGTACTAGTCAGTATACTACTTTCTAAAAGCTAAGTACATATGAATTTGTTACTATTGATGACCATCATAATACTGTAGGTATTATCTAAACAGGAGGATGGGTTGATATAAATAAAATTGTATTGTTATATTACTGGGCAATTTTAGTAGAAAAGTGGTATATTTATGTAGTTTAGTTGTAACATGGCAAATATGTAATAGTAACAGGTTTATTGCTATATTTACTCTTGCTCCTTTATATTGTTTAATGAGACAAACTTTTAAGTGTATATGCAAATATTTACAGTTAATACATGAATTGCAGATCATGCCCATGCCTCAAGACATTCCAGACCACAAAGATGAGGCTCCTCAGAAAAAAGCAGCAAATGACTTGTCACAGTGTCAACGATTCTAATGACTGAGATGACGGCATCTTTATCATTCAGCCCCACCTACTGAAGGCATCTTTATCTTTCAGCCCCCATGTACTGAAGATGAAAACTTAGTTACTTAGTTATCAAATGAAAAAAAAATAGAGGCAAATAAAACAATAATGAGGTACTGTTTCAAGTTGTGAAGAGGGAAAGCTATGTTTTTTTTTTTTTATGGAACTGGGTTTAAGTTATTATTTTTAAAGATAAATATGAAGGCTCTTCACAAATTATATGAGACAAAGAGCCTAATAAAGATGCAATTAAAATATTGTCATCTCTCTTAACAAACTTGTTCTAGTTTCCATTCTGTTTAGCAATAGATCATTCAAACATAAAAATCAAATTTTAACAAAGTGAACATAGACTTTCCCTAGTGGTAGAATTATAATAAATAAGAACACTTTCATTGTATATGCATATCATGGTTGATAAGAATTAATGCACAGTTTGTTATACTTCTTACAAACTTGGGAGAGTACAGCCATGATAATGGAGTACGAGAAGACCGATCAGTGGCGATGCCCAGCCACAGTTAAGGCGATGCATTGCATGGCTCAACAGCAGCTTTAAAAAGTTTGGATCTATATCTGCAACCAAAACCTTTAACCCTTCATATGATCATGACAATCAGGGACATTCACACCATTTATGATCACACCTGCTCAAGACATTGAGGGATCTTTTAATGTACTGCATGAAATTTAAAACTCCTGTGAGCACACAGGGCTCGAGCCCCCAGTAAATGGGTACCATCTTGGGGAAAAAAAATCATGGAGACTCATCTTGGATGTTAGGGAGCCGAGTGTTGAGAGTGCAACCATGAGTAGGACATGCAGCAGTAGCTCACATCACTTCAGCTCATGTCCACACCATCACTTAAAAATTATAATAAATAAATAACTATGATTAATGATAGTGTCATAGAAAATCCTGACTGGTTACCTTGAGGTGATTTCAGGGCTTAGCATTCCCACGGCCGAGTCCTCGACCAGGTTCCCCCTCCTCATTGCTAGCCTGGTCAACCAGTCTATGTACATGGTTCAGATATCAGTAAATACAATGCTGGTTATGATGTTCACAGCATGGGGCAGACAGCACATAGCCACAGCTTGGTGTGTGTATGTATCATGGAACTGGACCCCCCTTGTTCTTTTAGAAAATGAATTTTGTAAAATGATTCAGATTCAGGATTTTGATAATAGGAGTGTTATGGATAGTTAGCGGTATGTGCAGTATATCGGGAGGCACTGCATTATTAGGTGGTGTCAGTAACTGACTTGCGTGCGGTGCCATGCTTTGTTTAGATTTCAAAGCACAATTACATCAAATAAATAAACCACCTCCACCAGAACTGCTTAGTGGTATGTAATGGTGCATAAAAATGTAGTTATAAATTATGTGTATACAGTGTTCAAAAAGTGCAAAAAAGTATGTTTTTACTGTTCAAAAAATATATTGTGCACATATTACTGTAGTGACAAAAATACTGTATATTTGTGCATACCTATGTTTTGCACATTCTGTGATATAAATAACATTATTGAAATCCCAATGCCTCATTACAGTTGAAAACATAGTAAAAGCATTAAAAATACTAAAAATATATATATAATTTATTCAATGTGTACAGTTACAACTTTATGCAAACTATGTGGGTTTAGGATGAACTGTGATCACTGGTTCATTATTACTATACCCACTAGAACTGCTTAATGGTTCATAATGGTGTATAAAATATAGATAGTTACATGGATACACAAGTTACATATAATAACACGAAAAACATTGTGTTTGGGGTTATATGTATTATATGAAACGTTATCGAAGAATATAAAATGGTGCGCATACTAGTGACATGAATATATTTGAGCATACGAATGTTCCACACATTTTATTATATAAATTTCTCGAATTTCTATTCAATTTCTATTGAATAATTTTACTGCAAAAAAAAAAAAGTGAAAAAGACACACCAGTGACAATGAAATAAATATGTAAAAATTATTTTTGTGGTAACTCCTGCCCCCATGCCTGGCCCAGGGTAACCTCCATTGGACAATTGCTCCATGAACACGTGAACTGTGACATCATCATGATTCCTTACTCCTGGAGGCTAAAGTAAGTCACATAAATTTTGTTAATGTTTCCATGGTCAGAGAATTCATTTTAACAATTCTGTACAGACAACTACGTCCTTTCCAGACACCTCTTATCTTGATATGCCTGTTACTCATTTTAGGTTTGTCCAAATATAATTGTGCAATAAACTAGTGAGACGAGCAGTCGGTCCAAATAAAAAATGTGTGATTTAGTGGAGTGTGGGAGTGGTACAAGTACTCTACATCTGAGGGTACCTCATCAGTCTTGTCCGACTCTCAGGCTGGACAGGCTGCACAGACTGCCAGAGACAATGTTGGACAAGCAGATGATGATTACATGTCTCATTCCTGTTCAACCCTTCCCCCTTCCACAGCTCGCTCCATATGACTGTTAACACCTGCTGTAGGATGATGTAACATCATATGCCTTAAGTTGTCATACCCCCATATTTTCTTGTAAATATATAAATGAATAAATAACCAAACAAATATAAAGTTTGTTTTGTTATTTACAATTTGTTACGTTAGCAAGCATGTTCCGCACCACCTCAAACCCTCCTACCATTAACCACCCCTCCCCGATCCCTCCCCAACTAGGGTTACTGTAAACCTGTGGGCTCGTACCAGTTGTGTCCATCTGTAGTTTACCGAAGATGTGTAAGATCCACCACTCTCACAGCGACACCACTCACACACTTTTTACCCAGTGGCTCTTTTTGGTTGCTTTAACATCAAATGTCATCAGTGGATGATGTAAGATTGACGTTAAAGCAACCAAAAATGTCCACTGTACATGCCTATGTACAACACCCATACATGTTGGCACCTGTATGCAGGCACTCGTATGCAGGCACTCAAATGGCAATACCCACACACACATGGTAATACCCATACCTATATGACATTACCCACACAGCAATACCTACTCCCACATGGCAATACCCACACCCACATGACAATACCCACACCTGCATGCCAGTACCTATAGCCTTGTGCAAATACCCACACCCATATACTAATATCTACATCCACATTCAAAGACCTCCCTCCCACTCGAAACACCCTGCATCCACACCTGATTCTCCCAACACCCACAGTCACTGCCCACACCCACACCTACTCCCAACACCCCCACACAAATTTTCAGAGCTTCTCATAATCATGAGTATAACATAAAATAATGGAGGATTTCCCCGTCAATTTGTCAAGTATCCCATATATTTTCTGGACAACTAACTGCTTATCCCAACACAACCAGTTACTTGTCCTGTCTTGGTCCCAAGGCATCCTGAAAGCATGTGGTTATGTATATTAGAGAGAAAATCAATTTTGGAATTTTTTATTGTGGCCTGGTCAGAGACCAGGCTGTTGGGACCTTGATCTCCGGAATCAATGCAAGGTAACCACACCAGGGTATTGTCTCATAAAGATGGGCACAGTCGAAGGGTTAAAGTTAAAATTTTGATGACCTATAAACACACTTGTAAACACTGAGCAGTGAATTTGTGTGTGTGTGTGTGTAATTAGTGTAAATGAAATATACTTGAAGGTTAAAAAAAGATTCTGAGTTAGAAACAAAGTAAATTTTGACCTTAAATCATATGCCTGATTTGATCTGACCTGATCTAATGTAATGTAATATCATCTGATCTATCATCTGACCTAACCTGACTGGTGAAGAAAGTGTGTTCAAGATAATTTGAGAAGAGGAAAGCTAGGAGGAAGGTGGGTTAACATGGTGAGTGTGGATAACTCTCGAGACATGGTAAGGAACAAGGCTGGGTGGAAGTGGCTTGTATAAACGGAGTGAATATATTTGTATATAAACTACATGACAATTCATGAGGAGCACTTATTAACTCTTGGGTGGGTCACAATTCTTGGCTCTAGGCCACCACACTGCACAATTCTTAAAATGTTTGACAAATAAGATAAGCTAGTGCTTTGTCAATGAGTTTAAAATATTAAAAAAAAAAAAGTCTATGCTGGATTTCAAATTAATTCAATTCTGCTAATGGTGTATTGGTCCATAAAATATGGATGAAGTTACCTTTAATTTTGCATTTCATTTCTTGCAAGATTGAAGAAAAACATAATAAATGTGAAGAAATTATTAAAAAAATTCAAACATATTTTGAATAAATATTTTTTGAGTGCCACATGCTCCAAAATTCTTCTAATTATTTAAATGTATTTTATATATACATGTAATAGGTTTTTATCATTTAATTAGGTTATAATAACCCAAGAGATGCCACTTGTTGATAAATAAAGGGATTTATAATCAAAATCCAATTTCCTTGTGGTAAATTTCTGTAGTGCAAGTTTCACATGAAATAAGTATGATCTGTCCCAGATAAACCAAAGAACAGTATGTCATAAAGTAAGCCTTTCAGGGATTGAACTTTGCTCTTTGGTACCGCCTCTCAATCATCAATCAACTGGTGTAGAGGTTCCCGAGCCTATTGGGCACTATCATATCTCCATTTGAAACCTTATAGTCTGTCTCCACTGTTTTGTGCACGCATGTGTGCGTGTGTGTGTGTGTGTGTGTGTGTGTGTGTGTGTGTGTGTGTGTGTGTGTGTGTGTGTGTGTGTGTGTGTGTGTGTGTGTGTGTGTGTGTAATTACCTGTGTAGTTACATGAGAGCTGTGCTTGTGGTGTCACATCTTCCCGGTACTCTATCATATAATGCTTTGAAACTACTGAAGGTTTTGGCTTCCGCCACCCTCTCACTCAACTTGTTTGAAGAATCTACCACTTTGTTTGCAAAATTGAACTTTCTAATGTTTTTTCGGCAGCTTTGCTTCCTTAGTTTAAAAGTATGTTCCCCTAGTTCTTGAAATTGCAGTTTACAAAAGTTCTTCTTTGTCAGTTTGTCGATTCCTGTTAGTGATCATATCATATCTCTCTTTTTTTTCTTCTATCTTTGGCATATTGAACACCTCTCATCTCTCCTCTTAACTCTTGCTTTTTAGTTCCAAAAACCATTTAGTTACTGTACATGTCTTTGCACCATTTCCAATTGATATGCTTCTTGAGATATGGGTACCATACAACTGCTGCATATTCTAATTTTGGTCTCAAATGTTCACAATTTCTTTAATATTTCACTATCTACATGCAGGAATTAAGAGATTCGAAAGTTGAAAAGTGTAGCATTCCTCACACAATATTCTTCTTGTGATCCTCGGGTGACAGTTTTCTATCCAGAACCACCTCTAGAGCTCTTTATCAGAATTCTAAGTTTTTTCCTCATAATTTGTAGGTTGTGTGTAGTCTGTTTTCTCTTATTCCACATTCCATAACATGGCATTTATTCAGATTAAATTACATTTGCCAAGCGTTACTCTATACACTTTGTCCAGGTATTCTTGTTAGGCATAACAATCATCAAAGTTTCTTATCTTCCCTAGTAACTTGGCATTATCAGTAAACATGGTCATATAATTCTGTATACTTTCTGGTATACTGTTTATATAGACAATGAACATTACTGGTGCTAATCATGAACCCTGTGGTACTCCACTAGCAACACTTCTTCAGTCTAATATTAGCCTCTCATTACTGCCTTCATTTTTCTATAAAAATAAATTTCATCCATGTCTGAAGTGTAGTTACGGGGTGAGAGCTACAATCGTGCTGTCCCATCTTCCCAGTACTCTTGTCATATGACTCTTTGAAACTGCTGATATGTTTGCCATCCACCACATTCTCAAATAACTTGTTCCAACTGTCTACCGCTCTGTTTGCAAAAACGAGAACTTTATAATATTTTTTTTGTCAACTTTGCATCTTTAGCTTGAATTTAATCCCTCTTGTACTTGATGTTGCAGTTTCAAAAAACCCTTTTTGTCAATTTTGTTGATTCCTGTTATAGTACTATTTAGTATGTAGTGATCATATCTCCTCTTATTCTTCCTTCTTTTCCAGCTTTGATATATTTATCATACCAGTCCTCTCTTCATAGCACGCACTTGTTTGTCAGTTCCAGAAGCCATTTAGTAGCATGCTTTTGCTCCTTTTCCAGATTGTCGATGTGCTTTTCGAGGTGTGAGCACCATACAACTGCTACATATTAAAATTTTGGTATCACAAAAGTCATGAATAATTTATTTAATATTTCACTGTCCATGTATTTAAAGTAATTTTGAAATTAGAAAGCATAACAGTCACCCCACACAATGATTTTTGTGATCCTCTAGTGAGTTTACTAACTAGAACCATCTCTAGATCTTTCTTTGTCAGTTCCTTAAAGTCTTTTAGTCTTATGTTTCCACCATTTATGTCCGAAACTCCTCTGCCGCAAATCTAGAAGCATATCTGCAAGATAGCGGGTAAGTTCGTTCCCTATGTCTTGCCAGTCCTTCACCACCGTAGTACTCGTGTGGCGGACCCAGTGCAGGTTGCGAGCGAACTGGGTTCCCACTTTTCGTCTGTTAGCTCTGGTTCTCATCTTCCTCAATCTTTTCTTCTTCGTAAGTCTGTTCTTGAATCTCGTCCTTTAGATCCATCCGTACCCATCTCAGCCTTCCCTATAATGATCCCTTCTCTCTCTCTGAACTTCAGTCTGCTCTGGCCCTCTGCGGTTCTACGGCAGTGGGCTCTGATGACATTCATTATAAGATGCTTCGCCATCTCCCTCCGTATACGTCTCAGTATTTGCAGAGTCTGTATAATCGAGTCTGGGAATCGTCGTCAGTCCCTGAGGACTGGCTCGATGTTGTTGTCCTCCCTGTTCAGAAAGCAGGGTCTCTTGGGACATCCCCTCAGGACTTCCGCCCTATTGCCCTCACGAGTTTTGTCTGGAAACTCTTTGAACGTATGGTTAACGTTTGTTTGATGTGGTTCTTAGAACACTATCACCAACTCTCTCCTCAATTTATTTTTTGCAAATGCCGCAGCACAACAGATGTCCTGGTGAACTTGGAGGTCTATATTTGTACTGCTTTTGCTGCGAAGACCTCCGTTGTTGCCGTCCTTTTTGACCCAGAAAAGGCTTACAACACCGCCTAGAGATATCATATTCTGTCCCAACTTTGTTCTCTTGGCCTTCGTAATAATCTCCTTTTCTTCTTCCAAAGCTTCCTCTCTCGTCGTTCCTTTCGAGTGAGGCTTGGTGCCACTCTCTCTACCTCTTTTCGGCAATACGTGGGTGTACCCCAAGGTAGTGTTCTGAGCACTACTCTTTTTTTTGGTTACCCTCAATGGTCTTCTTTCCTCTCTTCCTTCTGCCGTCTTCTCTGCTCTCTATGTCGACGATCTTACCCTTTGTTGCCAGGGTGATGATTCGCATCTCCTGCAACGGTGGCTTAAACTCGCGATTGATACCATGTTGTCTTGGGCCACCGATCATGGCTTCAAGTTCTCTATGTCTAAGACGTGTGCTATGTCTTTTACTCGGAAGCGTGTCATTCTTCGTCCCTCTTTGTCACTTTATGGTCATCCCCTTGTGTACCGGGATTCCGTTAAGCTTTTGGGGTTAATCTTTGACACTAGATTGTCTTGGTTGGCCCATATCTCTTACCTCCGAGTTGAATGCTCTAAGGCTCTTAACGTATGGTTTTGTTCCATACTTCTTGGGGAGCGGATAGGCGCACGCTCCTCTCTTTACATTCCTCTCTCTTACTGTCAAAACTTGATTATGGTTGCCCTGCTTACTCGTCTGTATCTCCTATTCTTCACTGTCTTGATGCTTTGCACCATACAGGGTTGCACCTCAGCTCCGGTGCCTTTTGTTCGACTCCCACCCTCAGCTTGTATGTTGACATTGGCTTCCTATCTCTTCAGGACCACCGTGATCGCTTCTGTCTTTGCTATCTTGCACAATCCTTACAACATCCTTACTTTCACCTCTGTCGTGCTTCGACATTTACCCCTCCTGTAGTTCCAGTTCCTCTTCACCACCTGCCTCTTTCTGTCCGGTTATCTCGCTTACAGGATTCACTTTCGATTTGTGTTACCAATGTTTCTCCTCGTATTGTTTCATCCTTCTTCCTGTGGAGGGTCCCCTTCCTAAATTTTGTACATCCCTGACCCATATCACTAAAGCTTTTACCCCTCCTACGGTTCTGAAACGTCTTTTCCTTGAACACTTTTCTTCACTCTCTCACTCCATTTCCATCTTCACCGATGGGTCTATGTCTGCAGGCTACTCTGGTAGCCTGCAGACATGGTGTTGGCTACTCTGTTGTTTTTCCTGACCACACTTATGTGTCGCCTACCTCCGGAGACTAGCATTTTCACTGCTTTCACTTTATGCTATTCATTATCCTCTTCGTCTCTTGCTTTCTCATGGTCAATCTTCCTTTGTGGGTTGTCGTTGACTCTCGTAGTGCCCTCATGGCTCTCATGTCCTTTAATCCGGTCCATCCAGTAGTCGTCGAGATTCAACATTGGCTGTTTCTTATTTCCAGTAAATTTAAGTCAGTTGAGTTTTGCTGGATTCGCAGCCATATTGGTCTCTCTTTAAATGAGCGTGTGGACGCTGCCGCTAGGGAAGCTGTCCGCTCTTGTCCCATCTCCCGTAAAGGTATTCCTTATTCCGACTTTTACCCAGTTATTCATTCCTCCATCCTTACTCATTGGCAGACTTGTTGGTCTTCTGTTACTGGTAACAAACTGCGTACTCTTAAGAGTTGTGTGTCCTCATGGCCGTCCTCCTACCACCGTAACCGGCGATGGGAAACAGCTCTGGCGAGATTGCGTATTGGCCATCCTCACTTATCTCATGGTCACTTGGAGCGCCGCCTAGCTCCTTATTGTCCAAATTGCATTGTTCCTCTTACGGTCGTGCATATCCTTGTTGCCTTGTTGTGAATGTTCTGACTTCCGGGACGAGCGTATGTCTTGTTTCCCGACCGTCCCCTGCGGTCGCTTGTCCCTCGAAAGTATTCTTGGTGACTCAGATATTTTTATATCGTTCGCCTTATGCGTTTCTGTTCTCGTATTGGCATCCTTGGTGATATTTAGCGCCCTCTGATTATCCCGCACATTTGATGGTGCTATTTATCCTTCCCGGTTTGGTGCCTTCTTTTGATAATTACTTACTTATGGTCGTGCATATCTTTATTGAATATCCTGACTTCCAGGGCGAGCGTGTGTATTGCTTTCCAACCGTCCCTCGCAGTCGCTTGTCCCTCGATAGAATTCTTGGTAAATCTAATACTTTTGATATCGTTTGCCTTATGCGTTTCTGTTCTCGTATTGGCATCCTTGGTGATATTTAGCGCCCTGTTATTATTCCACATATTTGATGGTGCTACACATAGCCTTCCCGGTTTGGTGCCTTCTTTTGATAATTACTTACTTTAAAGCCTTTTAACACAATTTGTAGGTTATGTGTGGCCTATTCTCCAATTCCACATTATCTATTACTGATCCTGATATATTTATAGTATCTGGAACACTACTTGCGCATCTCCATCCTACACCTATACCACCTGGATAACAGTGAGATAATCCTAGAGCTTTCTGAGCTGGTGTCGTGTGTGTGTGTGTGTGTGTGTGTGTGTGTGTGTGTGTGTGTGTGTGTGTGTGTGTGTGTGTGTGTGTGATTACCTTAGTATAGTTACAGGATGAGAGTTACACTTGTGGTGTCCCATTTTCCCAGCACTCTTTCCTCTCTTGAAATTGAGTTTCTCAACTGTTTCAATATCCCTATTCTTTTCTAGATTATATCGCAAAGAATACTTAATTTCCAACATTATCACTCTTTCCCAAGGGAGTAAAGTACTGGATGTCAAATATCTCTTCTTTCCTGGTGAATATTAAATCTAGTTTTGATGGAACATCCCCTTCCCTCAGTCTTGTGGCCTACTTGACGTTTTGATACATAAATGTTTCCAGAATGAGGTGTGTGCTTGTGCGTGTGCGCATGCAATATTTTAATTTGGGTGTGTGTTGGTATATTTAACTATATTATATTTATGTTGTGTACATTTAAGATTTATTACAATGGATTAATTTCAAACATATCATTCAACTTTCTATCAAATTTAGATATCTATTCACTGTACTTGAAAACACCAAAGGTTTTGTATCAATTTTTCTGTGATTTTCTGTGGACTCTAGAATCAAATATCTTTATTATATATAATGAAAAGCGGGATTTATTTTTGTGACAAATAAATAATACCAAATGTATGTTGTTATTATTATAAAGTCCTCATTTAGTCGGTGATTTGTAACATACCTGGAATGTTACTGCCTGTGTACAAGTAGTCCCCCAACTCATGAAGGTCTTCTCAAAATGCAACCCATTCATAGGTTAACTTTTTGCAACTTGGAACCAAATTTTTCCAAGAAACAATGCTTCATGAGGCATGCATTCCTGGACCCTCAGGAATCACTTGTGAGATACTTATGTCAGTGTGTTCATTACTTCTGTCAGTCTAAGGTTTGAACCTTTCATGAGAGGAGCTCTTTCTGATATAATCAGCCTGTGGTTCATGCAAGTTTACTGTCAAAAATGGGGCTCGTGTTCTCTCGCATAAGTGAATTGTGTCAATAAAAACAAATTTCTGGTCTGTGGGTGCCGAGTTGCAGTTGGGTCACTGGAAGAAATAGCCTAAGGCTACCAATGACTTTTCCCCCCTCCCTTTCTGGCCCGTTGTCGTCGTCATGAGGGGGGCCTGGTGGGCGGCTGCGGGAGTGTGATGCTCCATGGGACAGTCCTCTGTTCTTTTGAAGCCTTATGCTCCTGCTGCTATCTTCACCAATTTTGCTGGATGTCTTTTCCTTTTCCTTATGTTTCATTTTTCTCCCCCCCCTCCCTCTTCTCCTTTCTAATTGTTATTTCCCGCTGACCTTTTACCCGTCTTGATTCTTCTTCTAGACATCTTCTGTGTTGACTCCCGGGTGTTTGGGAAGGCGCACATTCT